GCGTTTTCAGTTTGGTTCTCAGCAGTTATTTCAATGCCAATCTCAGCACTCTGCTGACCAAACATCCTCAGCTTAAGCAGATACAAAACTTCGAGGAACTGCGGAGAAGTGGATTAAGTGTTCTGTTTGATAGGAGCTTTAAGGTTGTCCTTAAAAAAGAAATCGGGAAAATAAATTTCGATAAGCTATTGCCGAATGTCGAATATTTGCCAACTAAACAATATGAAAATAAAATATTAACTTTAAATACCAGCTATGCATACCACATGCATACAAATATATGGGAAGTTTTGGACCGTTATCAAAAATCGCATAATCGGATTGTGTTGTGCAAGTCACACGAATTAAAATTACTTGGCGATGCTCCACATAATAATATCCTTAAGAAAAACTCCGTTTATAGGGAGGCATTTTTGGATTTTGTGCATAATACTAACAGATTTGGCCTTCGCAACTACTGGGAATTCACGGCAGGACAAAACATGATGTCGAATGTACATTCTCGCTTGGCGAACACCAGCCCAGAAGTCAATCAGGAATTTAAGCCAATGCCCCTCAATTTTGAGGATTTTAAATGGTTATGGAAGCTTCTTGGCATATGCTACGGTGTAGCAGGTTTGGTTTTCATTGGAGAAATCTGCATAGGCCATTGGCAAAAGAAACGAGCTGACAGGGGTGCTTTTATACCAACACAGTATATACCCTAAGAAAGATAATGTTGCAATATATGTATTTGCAATAAGAAGTGTATATTGCTTATAATGAGCTTAAATGTTTGTCTATTATATAATTTAATTACCTTTAAAATGTACATTACTTTTTAATAAAGTAACTAGTTGGTTCAGATTTTATTTCTTAGACCCATTTCCCCCCATGGAGAATCAATTTTTACTTATAAGCTATACTACTACTTAAGCTTAATATCTAAACTATTTAATAAAGATATTAGAAAATAGTTTGAAATCAATTGGATTAAGAAGCGAAAGTTTAAATACACAGTTTTTTTTCTTGACGAGAACTTTAAAGCCGAAAAAGAAACTTTCTTATTGTGGTTTTTGCGCAAAGTGAAAACACCTCTCAAATGGATTCTCAAAAAGTTCATCATGCACTTACGCATGAAAAGTGTATGTCAAATGAATATTTGGAGAACAAATCTAGAGTCAGTAGCGAAGGTTGTGTATGATAGAAGGTTCTTGCAGTAGATATTCGTACAATCTGTACACTTAAGGAGTTTATACCTACTTGTTGTTAGTTGTTATGAACAACGTTAGCTTACACTAGAAAATATACATATTTGTAAATTATATTATATATTTTGCCCCTATTAAAGTTTATATTGCAAACGAATTGAATTATTTTGTGGGGCCTATCGATAGGCGATTGTTGCCAAACGAATTTCACTTGCACGACAAAATATTCTCGTCGCCACGTTAGCCGCAGAGCAGCTGGCTCTTTAGTCGTGAAAAGTTTGTTGCGCCGCTTGGTCCGTGCGCCGTGTGCTTTTCGTGTGGTAGAAATGTTTTTGCCGTGTTCATTTGTTGCGCATACGCCACATGCGCCGCGCGTGTTGCGAGCGATTAACAAGTGTTTCCGTTTCCAATGACAAATTAATCTGTGTTAATAGACGCTTGTCCCAACACTGGCGGAAAGTGCAATCAGACATTGACAAATGTTGCAAAACTGAAATATAAATAAATAACTCGTGTATATAACAATAAAATTGTGTCTTATCAAAGATGTGTTGTAAATTCTGATAGAATTGTTGAATGTGTGTTAAGTGTGTATGTTGATCATTCGTAACTAAAAGCAGTGCTCTCTAAAGGTTTAGTGCTCTCTAGTTTATGAATATTTCTGTTTATTACTTAAACAGTTACTCGCAATTAATTAACATTTGCTTGTGCTGCGATTAGTTCTAGCAAATACCCAATTAATTTACTCAACACCTCAGCGCAATTTAATGTCGCATGTCGCAATATTTTATGCGCTGTCACACGCTTTAATAGCTTGAAATATTTTTCAACAGTTTTATTTTTTTTAATTTATGCTCCTCTCCCCCCACTCCACACACTAGCTTACAAATCCGTTTTATGCGCATTCATAATTTAGCCAACAATTTTGATCACCTTCGTGGGGCCATCTTCGGTTTATTTAGCTACAAATTATATGTAAAACTGAATGGCACACCGAATTGTTTATAAAAGTAACAAATGCTAAGCACAAAAAGCTTAACAAAAGTCAAAAGCAAAACATTAACCCACACACGCCGACATGTTGCAGCTCATGGAATAAAACGCTGACCAGCCAGCCAGCCAGAGGCTCTGCTAGGTCTGGCATCAGTCAATGTCAGTTGGCCCGCTGCCAGTTGGGCGGGGGCGTAGACAAACAAAAGGGAAAGTGTGCGACGACATGGCTGCAGTCGAGTGGGGAGAAAAATTTAGAAAATTACAGATGCGCTACATAGTAACTGAAGAGTTGCTCAACTCAACAACAAAAATGCTCCAAAGCAATTTTCAATTGTATTTTTCGGACGTCAAGTATCAAGTGTATACTGTATCATATGTATATATATATATATGTATGGAAGACATATGTTAAACAATGACAATGGTTGCCATAAATATGCCTGGCATATTTTATCTATTTTAAATATTATTGACTTCTTTTTTTGTTATTTCCAGCCAGCACATTTTTTTAAATACTTACGACTGGACTGGCATGGCATTGGCCCAAGTGCAAAATTTATTGGTCCATTTATAAATTTGACTGTTCCGCTGCTTTTGTCGTAAAACTTTTCAAGTTTATGCTTAAATCTTTTTCGGAATTGTGCAATAATTGGCAATGATATGCTATGTAAATACAACAAATTATGACGCAGCCATCTGGCGAAGGCTGTAAACTTGATCGACTTTCAAATTGGGTCAGTTGTGGCTGGGTGGTTGGTTGACTTGCATGGCGCCACAATTCAGAAAAACATAAAAATTAAATAATTAACTATCTATTAAAAATGTATTATACAACTGGCGTATACTAACCGCCTTTACAACACGTTTTCATTTGATTGAAATTCTAATTTTCCGTTCTATCTTTAACTACCAATTCCACGGTGGATCAGTTTTCTCTGTGTTTTCCCTACATTCGCCGAAACAAGCTTTTACAAAATTAGTTGGTAGTCGCAGCTAGACTACCTTGGTTCCCCATTTGACACCTTTACTAAATATTCACAAACCTCTATGCATGATATTAGTTTAAAGCAGATTGAAAGACAACCAAAAAGGTTTCTTACAAACATTTTCCGCTCATTTTTCACAATTGCTATTGGAATTTACCAAAACCCTTTCTTCATAGTGCATTGAAAGATGCAGCTTCCTTTTTCTTGGGGTCTGGGCGATGTTGGACTATGTGCTTAGCAACAATCAGTCAGTCAATCAATCAGTTAAGCAATCAGTCAGCTAGTCAAGAATGAAGGCTATTTCTTATACATAAATGTATTTATTTTGTTTAGATATATCTACCGATCTAACAGTCCAATTTGGTTTAACTCAGCTGAACATATTGCTTTCATTTGTTGCTGCATCATTTCCGTTTGTCCGCTTTGCTTATCTTTAAGTTTCGCAGCCAAAATCCAACCTCAAGACTGCCTCTGCCCCCTCTCAGCCAATCGAGGTACGATTGACGTTTTCCAAATTTTGCGAAAATTTTCGTGCAGTTTTGTGTATTTTTAGCTTTTATCTATTTTGAAAATAAATAGATTTCAATGGAAGCAAAATGCGCGCCAATTGCGCCGCAAAGTTCGCGAAAATCCCAGGCACCGCATTTCGCTGTGCCCCATCAATTAGTGGCACAATCAAATGCAACGCGCCGAACAGCCCGTTTGTGTGCCCGTTGTGTCTACTTATAAAACACACGCTGCCATTTCGCATCATTTATGGTGACGTCAATGTGTTTTCCCGCTGAGCGATGGGGCCCTACACATTGTCCGCATATATATGGGTATTACTGCCTCTAATTTTAGCGATCTGTTCTGTTGCTCTTCTGCTCTTTGAGGCACTTGCCATTTTATTTTTTTTATTGCTGCCTATAATTGGTCTGTTTATGTGCAGAGACGTGAGCGCCCTGAACTTGAAACGATTTCATGTGGCACGGCAGCAATACCATGGAGCAGCATAGGTTTGGAGTTAACCGCACTTGCCGGTGCCTGTTGCCACACCATAGTTCTCTCTTCTTTTTTTTTTCTGGGATTATGATGTTGTAGACGATGCTGTGATTAGGTTTATTTTTGTCACGTTGCTGCAATTTGAACTTTGGCGGAGAGTTAAAGTGCCCGCTGACTCAGTGCAGGCGGCAACACTGTGAAAAATTGCAGAAGATACAAAGTTTTAAATTGAAAAAAGTATTATTATGATACAAGGGAAAAAATGCAGGATTTTTCCTTCAATAATAGAGAAAAAGACTAAAAAGATATAAAAGAAGAAAGAGAGAGAGAGAGAGAGAGCGGCTGAAGAAAAAGCAATAAAATTCAGATAATAAAAATTTACAGCTGGAAAGGCAGACAAACCGGAAACAAGCTGCGCTGACAGAGATCGTAATATTTAAATATATTTCAACTAAGTCAGAAATAAAATATAGTCTATGCACATGTAAGCAGATATATGCATTTACATTTATATTTAATAAATATTTTGATAAATCCCCCATGTAAGCTGTCTTCAGTCTTCAATGGGGCACATATATGGAATGTTGTGTGTCATGGGCCGAGAGCGCAGCTCATGCTATTGTCGCTTCTGATGACACATAATGATCAAATCGAACAATTAGCCTTTAGCTTTCAACGCACCAATTAATATTCATAAGCACACTAATACACACACATACGCATGCCGCTTAGAAGCGCTAAATCCAAGCCAAAGCCACACTCATACGTATCTGTGTATCTGAACAAAACAATCGCAATTAAAGTTAATTATGCCATGTGTCTTTTTGTCAAGTGTATGTGCGCGAGTGCTGTTGCTCATATTTGTCCAGTGTTTGTCATCGCTTGGAGCAATCGCAATTGGAATCGCAGTTCCAGTTCCAGTTCAGCTGTCAGCCAGTGCAAAGCGACGGACGCACAGTTGCACAGTGTATGTAAGTAATCTAAGCAATTGATTAAGGCTAATTTGCTGTGACTTTAGCGACTGTCATGTACTTAGATGCAAATGCACCTAAATAATTATTGTTTAAATCAACAGGTTGCGACACTGAAAAAAGCGATAAAAACGATTTGTTTATAAACGAAACAACGAACAGCAAGAATTGCCAGATAGACAACAAAACGATGGACATGCATTTAAATGAATTATAAGAAAAATTAAAGCTACACATATATTTATCTATGTGTGTGTGTGTGTGTGTGTGTCTAAGCAGCGCGACAACGAAACAAATTGACGAAAATGTTTAATTTGCTGCGACGCACGCGTCAGAGGAAAGCGCCCAAAAACAAAAACTACGATGTAAGCGACGAAGAGGAGGCAACGGCAGCGGCAACGGCAACGAAAATAACAACAACAGCAACAACAACCGCGAGTGCTGCTGACAGGAGCCCTCAGCTAGAGAGCAAAAATGGCGCTGAGATCCGTTGCTTATTCAGCGCTGCGGAGAGAGACACTGAGCGCCAAAGAGAAAGCGCACAATTGAGCACAATGTGTCTGCGGCCGCCAGCACGACGCGCCGTGATCGAAGAGTTGGAGGACTTTGGCAGCGACGTCGAGGAGCCCGACGAAGAGCGGCCAAGTGTAAATATAGCCAAAACAGCTGCGCCGACAGCAGCTAAGGCAGCTACAGCAGCTACATCATCTAATGGCCATTCAGCGATCTCTTGGCGCTCCGACAATTTGAATATAAATAACACGGGCGCAGGCGATGGGGCGACAACGGCGAGGACAACGACAGTTGTTGTTGATCGAAATGTTGCTGCTGGGCATGCCACGGCGGCCAGTCCAAACGAGTCAGCCAGCGTGAGCGCAAAGGCAGACAACGTCGACGGTCAGCCAATTGGCAGTAGCATTAGCCAAACGAATCGCGACAATAACGGGCCAATTATCGATGGCACACCAAATGCTGCTGGCACGGTAATTAATGCTGCGGATACGGTTAAATATCGTAGCCAATCGAAGCAATCGAAGAACGAACAGAAACGACAATCGCGCCTATCGCTAGGCAGCCTGGCAACGTTGCATTTAAGTGGCAACAGGGACTGTGCAGTTGACAGTGCCACAGCAGAGTCTGTGCCCAAGAAGCGCAAACCGTTGCAAAAGAGTCGCGAGTTTCTCACTGATATTTTCATGGCGCGTGGACGTAATCATCAGCGCCAGCAGCGACAGCAACAGCAGCAGCAGCAGCAGCAGCAGCAACAACAACAGTTTAAATCCAAAACAGCTAACGACATCGACGTAATCGCCATTGGGCAGGCGCTGGCAGCGGCAGCGGCAGACGCACACCTTGAAACGAACTCCGACCCCGCGACCGCGTCCACAAATAGTTATCAAATGACTGTGTCTAATAATAGCACGCAGAAGCGGCAGAGCGCGGGCAAAGAGCGTGAGCGCGAACACGAACGAGAGCGGAGCAACAGCGGCAGCAACAGCAGTAATTCAGCTGGACAGGAGCAGCAGCAGCAGCAGCAGCAGAAGCCAAAAGAGAGTTGCCAGCTGGCGAGAGACGAGCGACAAGATGCGCATAGAGCAGCGAGTGCCGATTTTATTCAAGCGGCAAACGTCGAGCTGTGCACTGTCGCGGAAGATCAGCAAGGCGCTGCAACACTGCAACGCGGCAGCAGCAGCAATAACAACAGCAACAACAACAGCAGCAGCAGCAACAACAACAACAACAACAACAACACAAGTGACATAATGGGCCAAACAAGCGCCAAGCCCAACGAATGCACGCAATCGGCGCATAGCTCACGCGCCAGCACGCCGCGTGAGTTTCGTGAGTCGTTCGTGAGCGAGACACAAGGCGTACCGGTGGCGCCACCGCGTCAGCATCAACAACATAAGCAGCAGCCGCAGCAGGAGCTGCCCACAATAACAGTCGAGGACTGCAGCTTTGAGCAGAGTCCCAGCCAAAGTCCACAGACGGCGGAAGTGTTCTACGATTTTGAGAGCCCGTCAGGCCACGGCCTCAACATTGAGGAGCTGAACGAGGCACATGAGGAGACGTTAGAGGATGAGGTCTTCGACATACCCACTACCATTTATCAGCAGGCGAATGGCGTGCCCCGGCCCTGGACACGCTTGACCAATGTCAAGCTGGAGAATGTGCAGGAGGAGGCCGAAGAGGAGGAGGATGATCCGCAAGCAGAGCCCGAGCCCGAGGATGATGAGCTCGACGAGGCGCTTGACTTGGATGGCATCGATGAGCATGGGCGTGCCACGCCCAACGGCTCACGTCAATCGGCCAGCAGCGAACGCAGCGCGCTAAAAAGCGATTCCAATTTAAGCAGCAGCTATGCAGACTCGGGCATAGGCATGGGCATGGGCTTGCCACAGCAGCAGGGTGAGCGACAGCAGCCGGCACAGCAGCCGCCGCTGCCGTCGCGCAGCGCATCAACGTTGCCGCTGCGCACGCCCTTCGTGCGAGACGGCAACTCAACGTCAACCGACTGCGACTGCGAGGAGCTGCTGCTGCAGTGCGACGAACTCGATGATGAGCAGCATTTCGATGAGCGTTTGGTGTGCATCGAGAGCATTAGCCTGCCCGATGTGGTTGTCGAGTCAACGACCGCCACAACGTCCACAAATGGCAGCAGTGGCAACAGCGGCGGCAACGGCAGCTGCAGCAGCAGCAGCAGCAGCAGCGGCGCTGGTGCTGGCAGCCATGATGGCCATCTGAATATCAATATTGCCAATGGCGCCGGTGGCAATAGCCTCGGCAATGTGCATTTCATACCCATACATATCGAGGGCTGCGGCTCTGGTGCGGCTGCTGCACGCAGTCGCAGCAACAGTCCCAAGCAGCGCAGTCTGGACGATAGCTGCATAGGACGCAATATGCCGCCCAGCGTTGAGATCGTCGAGGATGGCAGCGTGCTCAATAATCAGGAGGCGCTGCAGAGCGGACGCGAAACACTCGAGCTCAAGTAACGTATACGCCATGTCTTACACGCCAACTAAAGCTAATGCCTTGAAAAACCACAGCAACAGCAGCAACAACAACAACCACAACAACAACAACAACAGCTAATCAAGAAAATAATAAGCGATGATCTAATGCGCCTTTTTGTGTGTCTGTGATTCAACAGCCAGCTTTCGCCTTTTGTTTATTGTTTGTGCAGCGCGGCGTATGCGCAATATTTGTGCTACTAACTACTGTTATTCTTTTAAATTTCATGTGCTTCTGCTGCAACTGAAGTTTTCTTTGTGCCAAATCAAATGTGACGCGTTAATTAATCAGTTGCTCAGCATTTTCCATTTTGCAAGCCATCTGCGTGGCAAATTTTCTTGTTGCCATTCATCTTGATCTCTTGTCTCGCTCAATAATGAATATATATGCGTGTATATGTGTATGTGTGTGTGTATATTTTGTGGCAGTTTTCCAGTCAAGGCGCCTATTTTTATATAAAACAAAAAACATTTTTTTACTGCGCTGTTTTGTTTCTTTTTCCGTGACAGCATATATGCATATAGATTTTTTATTATAAGTAACATTTTTTTTTTTTTGCATTTGCCAATTATTTCTATATGTTCAGGGAATGTTTTATAAATTTATTCGGAAATCGCCTTTGAGAAGAAAAAACCAATGCGCAAAATAATGAATAATAATAATATGTTTAAAAATTAAATCCAATTTACATATTCATATAATTGTGTGTGCTTATGCATTTCTACTACCTAAAAAAAATCGCATGAAATTATTATTAAGTAAAAATATAGCCTTGACTGTGATAACTGTGATAAAAGAGTCTATACACATAAATAAAACACACATATATTAGAATAGTATATGTATAATACAATTTTATGTTAATGCATAATTAATCTCAATTTAAGAGCCACTATTTGCTTTTTTGCCAAGTACGTATACGTAATTTTGAAACAATTTATCACAAATAACAAATACCACTTGCCCATTGTTTGGCCTTCAAAATTTATGACGGATTGTGACAGCCGGTCGACAAGTGTCTTGACCAACTATATTCCGACAAAAACATTTGGCAGAACGCTAATTATTGATATACTTACGTATTGCTATAAAATTAATAATTATTTAACAAAATAAAGCAATTGAACGGCATTTAATGGCATGTTTTTGTGCCCTTCCCCATTTGGGTCTTGAGAGTCGTTCCTCGTAAATCATCTTAAAATAATTTCCCATCGTCATTTCTTTGGCAACATGTTTGCCTGTTCGCATTTCCTACGCCAGTTTTCAATAATTTTCTTTTCATATTCGCAGCCGTCTACGTCAAATGTGCATAGAACTCGCTAGCTGCCTGCTCTAGTTTTTCCGGTTTATTTTAGTTTCGTTTCATTCGATTTTGTATGCTCTCTCTCTTTCCACCGGAGGGGCAATGCAAAATTTTCTAAATTTCAAATGCTCGTGTAATATTCAACGTATTAAGGGCGACGTATGAGGGGGCAGGCTGCACTTGATTTAGCAGCTGGCCCATGAAAGTGGCCGAGTAAACAATCTTTTTGGCCCATCAATTACTTAGCATTGGCCGAATGTTTACTCCCAACACAGCCCAATGGGGCGTATGCGTAATTTCTTTAGCCCGCTTCTAAGTTATGAGCTGATGTGTTTAGGTTAAGTAATTTCATGAACAACTTGGGCATAAACAAAAGTAACAGCAGCAACATTCTTCGGCAAACTTAAGTCAAAATAATTGAAATAACTTGCGAGATACACTTTGTCTGCTGTGCTGTATCTTTGTATCTTGTATTATGTATCTTGTATCTTGTCGTCGTATGTGTGCATTTGTACTCGCTCTCAACGCAGCAACGCAGCATCGCGTGTCACAATTTGATAAATTCTCCGCTCATTGTCTCGAGACGAGTATCTTAACACTTGCCAAACTGCACAGCTATATGGATACAGATACAGATACAGATACGTTGTATCTTTTAAAAATAGCTTTGCGCATTTGCACATCGCAGCACGACAAGACAACACATTTAAATAAGTTAAATTCAATTAAAGCGTATTTTATTTTGCGTTTAATGCAAAAAGAAAATAAAACAAGGAAATTATCTACGGCTGGCCGCAGATTCAATACCCTTTCAAGACAAGGAACAAACACGAATAGTCTAGGAATTCAATTTATATTGACTATTTATATGACAGCTTTATGATAACTTTTTGAAATTGCAATCGATTAATTTGGAGTTTGCCTAAGAAGCAAAAAGGTTTTGAACAATTTCTTTTTATGAAGACTTAGGATTGGATATCAAGCTTCAAAAATGAAAGACTAGGTTGCAGACGGACAGATGGACGCCTTGGCTGGATGTTAAAGTTCGGATCTCGAATTAACCATGAACCGAAACACGAAAATTGTAAAACCTAGACAGACTTAAACATTGTTGCTGCTTCCAAAATGATCGGAAAACCTTTTGAAAGAGTATCAAAAGACACAGCACAAAACAAATATTATATAAATGCGCATGTCTGCGTTGCCTACGTCGCAGGCAAATTATGTGTAACCTGGGGGAAGACATTCCCAATGTTTTTTGCACCTCATTTTCAGTTTACGAGTCTTTCGATTCAAGTGCGTCAAGTGCTTAACATATACAAAAATATTATAAATAGTATATATACACATCTATATATGTGTGAATGTGTGGAATATAGGTGTGTCAAATATTATAATTTGATGTCTATTTATTTATTTATGTTGTGGCTTAGTTAAAATTCTAACATAAGACAGAAGTGCGTGCGCTGCTCACGTATCTGAGTCATTTTTTGTTTTCATGCGGATTTTCTAGAGATTTGTTGACTAAATATATAATGCGTATATAGCTCATATTTTGTCTGGCTTTTAAGACTACAAAAATTATTAACGCTGAACTATATTTTGCTTAAAAAATTTGCAGAAAAGAACTCAAGCTACAAAAGGCGCGCTTCAGCAGTCAGCTGGATGATGCACACAAAAATGTTCAAAATCTGGAGGCCAAGGTGAGTGCTATGCAGTTGAAGATACAAAATCTGGAGCAGGAGCTATCGCTAAAGCAATGGAATGTGGACAGTAAGTGCAGCACAAAACTTGTATGTTAAATAGCTAACCCTATCTTTGGACAGGACTACAAGGCGAACTAACGGCGGCGCAAAAGGATGATGAATATGTGCGCAAAAAGCTGAAACTGCTCGAGGATGAAAAGATACATCTGCGGCACAAATACAGCGACGATGAGGACGAATTTCGACGCAAATATAGTGAGTTTGTGTCTTATCAATAATTTCATTTCAAACAAAACCAAAACTATTCTAGACGGTCTGGAGGCCCAGTACAACGAACTAACCGAAAAGTACAAACAGACACAGACTCTGGCGAGCAGCCTTCAAACGCAAGTGGCGGACGCTCAGGTTGAGGTGGAGCAGTGGCGCAATGAGGCGGATAAAATACGTCAAGAGCTGGAGGAACAAATACGCATACTGAGAAATGCACTCGAGAATTCCGAGGCGGAGCGCAAAATCTGCGAGGATAAGTGGCAAAAGGAGTTCGAGATGCTCCGAACACACAACAGAGGTGCGACACACAATGTAAAACATGCTTGCAAAAACAAATATTGCTCTTAGATACCCTATACCAATTACAGGCTACTTTAAAGGGTATATTGAATTTTTGAGAAGTTATTTAATAGAGAAAAGTATCCTGCCCTTGGAGTCTAGGCCATTATTGGTCCATTGCAATATATCTTCACCTCCTTCCCCTTATCATACAGAGTTAAAGTGTTTTTCAAATTATTAACTATCGCCTTCCTTTGCGGTTCTCATATTCTCAATGTTCTGCCTATCCATCCGGAAATTCTCCTTTTCTCTTTCTTTCACCTTATTGGTAATTATTGGCAATAGTCCCTCTCTATCAATGCCCTTCTATGCGATTTTCAATGCCTTAAACGAGGCTTATTTGCTTAAATTGTACGCTTTGATGCATATTCTTCCTCATTCTTATATATATCACATATGTACAGGGTATATATTCTGGTCGATAACTTTCAAATGCCTTTTCCTGATTAACAGAACGCGAGGAGACCTTGATGTCGGACTGCGAATGGCAGATGCGGCAAATGCAGCGTCAGTGCAAGGATAAACTGGACAAATCCAATTACGAACGCAAACAGGCAACGGCCAAGGCCGAGGAACTGGAACTGGAGCTGCAATCACGTCGCAAAGAGGCGGAAAGTTTGCGCATTTGCCAGGCACAGGTGAAGTCGCTGAGCGGCGTAGTAAGCGAACAGGAGCGCTCCATACAAACACTCATGGAGCGCATCGAGAATCTGAAAGGTGAACTGGAGACGGCCAATGACAATCTGGAGACACAGATCGAAGCTGTGCGCAAAATAAAGTATCAGTGTGATAAGTAAGTAAATCTGTCTGTCAATTTGCAAGATGAAACATCAATTTAGAATCCAATTGTAGCGCCATTTATGATAAGGAGCGTCAAATGATCTATCGCATCGATGAGGTGCGCAACGAAGCTGCCGCCTTTTGGGAGAATAAACTTTAGTAAGTGTTAGAAGTTTATGCATAATATAACTGTTAGGCTGGCTGGTATTATCGGTGTAATTTTTTTCTCCAAAAGCTAGCTTTACAATTTACACGCATCTTTCGCTCGTGCGGGCGGATTTGTGAAACTCATCTGAAATGTATTTATCTATTCAAATTAAGCTTGAAGTTGTGTCGGCTAAAAACCAAAGTATTGCATACAATAGTTTTTCACTCTTTTTTCACTCTCCGCGGTGAATATATTTATAGTGAATTTCTGGTGTTGCGCTTTCCCGCTTTGGTCTCTACCGATTATTTATCTATCTACCTACTCATCCACAATAATAATATATGTTTTTGTGATCTTCAACCACAGCACAGAGATGACAAGACTGACAAATGAACTGGAATCTGTTTATGTGGATGAGCGACGCGATGCCTTGGACAAGCTGCAGGCGGAGCACATTGAGGAGCTGCGTGCGCTAACCAATCGCTACACAGCCAATGAGGATGAGCTGCGTGCAGAGGTAAGGTCCGATTTAAATGCGCATAGAGCACACTTTATCAATAATCCTTGATCGCAGATCGATGAGCTGACCGAGAATCTGGAGCTGAAAAAACAAGACTTTCTGGCGCTGCGCGAACGCTCCGACAATGCGCTGCTGCAGACGCGTATGCATCTGGATCGTGCGGATCGCGAGTATCAGAATGCCATGTGCCGGGAGGAGGATCGACGCGTCGAGCTCGAGGAGAAGCTGCGCAAGGAGTTCGAAATCGAAAAGCAGGAAATGGAAGAGAAATTCCGTGAACGTTTGGGTCAAGTCAAGGAGGAGTTCGCCAAGGAGCTGCAGCTGTCCACACAGGATCTGCACGAAACGCACCGCAAGGAGTTAGGTAAAAGCGCATAAACTATGCCAGGCGTAAAATTAATTCTTAATTCCCAATAAAGAAACCCAGAAGGCCAAGCTTCAAAGCGAAAAGGATGAAGCACTGCAGCAGCTGGTCGAGCGACATCGCGCCAAAATGGCCGCTGCCGAGGAACGAATGAAGTGAGTGTCTTTTAGTCTGATACTGACATATATATGCCTTAATATTTACACATATGCATACCCTAGCTAACTGTATTAGAGCTTAACAGACATATTTATATACACAGTGCCTGCCAGTAGAATTCCGATTGTTTTTTGTTTGCCTTTCAGTTCATTCATTTTGCCTGCCACAATTTTCATATACATTTACTTGTCTTTTGTTTTTCTTTTACACACACACACTCACATAAACACACACACTTATACACAAACATAGCTGCATTGGTTTCGATTGTGCGACCGCCTTGTGTGTGCTTGCGAAGGGGGCGTGTCCATATGTGCCCACCATCTATGTGCTATATCTGACCATGTCGCCATTGATTGCCTTAGCATGTTTAGTGTTCAATATAATCGCAGTGCTCTATATCAAATATGGTCATCTCTTAAGCAACATTTAACTAGCACTAAGTTTTAAATATATGGCAAGTGTGTCAGTCAATCAGTCAATCCAAACAATCAATCAATCTATCAATCACTTAGCAAGTTTGTGCCTGCTTTGCTACGTATTATCCGTTTGGCCATATATGAATATATATATATATATATAACATTTACTTTCTCTTTTTCGCTATATACCTACCGCTGCCGCCTCTCTCTCTCTCTCTCCCCCTCTCTCTCTTTCTCTCTGTCTGTTTGCTTGTGTGAAACCTCAAACCAAATCCTAACAACCTATCAAAATCGACACCACAGCGATGTAGAGCTTCGGCATCAGCGCAATCTCAAGGACTTGAAGGCGGCCTACGATGCCGAGAAGGCGGCGCTGGACAAACGCGACATTAGCAATGCCAACGAGATCGAGCAACTGCATCGCAAATGTCGCTGCCTGACAAATCTGTAAGTTCAGCCACCAGAACAACAACAACAACCCTGATCATAACCAACGCTTAGCCATGTCGTCTTTGTTGTGTGCTAAGCTGTCCTTTTTGTAATCCGTCTGGCGAACTAATCCGAGCTTTTTGTGCCGTTCACAGTTTCGAGGAGATGCGCATGCGCTATGAAAGACGTGATCCACGCGCTGAGGACCTGCGCGAGATCTCGGAGCTGCGTACGCGCTGTGATAGTCAGGAGCGGGATCTGTTTGTGCTCACCGACAGGCTGCGCGAAATGCAAAACCAAATGTCCGAGCTGCAGCAGAATGGCGAGGCGGCGTCGCGTGGCAAGGCATTGAAGAAGCCGCCGCCCAAAACGCTACCCACCAGCTGTGATGTCATCTACGAGGAGAACGAGGAGCGTGAATCGCCCGAGCATGAGACGGGCAGCTCCTCCAGCCAGGACGATGCCGAACAGGATGAACAGCAACTGGAGGAGGAGGAGGGCGAACAGGAGCCCAGCGACACCGAATCGAATCACACGATTGAAATCAATGCCAAATGCAACGATCGCATTAACGAGGACGATGCCCACATGATCTCAGCCGTCTGATCCGCTCAACTACGATCTTCCGCTTCGACTTAAAGCCAAGCAAAAGTCCCAGCAACTGAGGCGCCGTCGAGCTGAGCCGAATTGCTGCCAGCGACGAGTGTCCTTCACTCACTAACCACACGCTGCACAGCCGATCCTTGGGCTAGAGATGCCCTTTTATATGCACTACTGACAGTTTTCAGAAAACATGCACATGCACCCACAATTAAGCACATAAAAATTGTAAAATAAATTAAATCTAATTGGTTTATGAAACCGCTGTTAAAAAAAAAAAAAAAAAACAGACCAAAAGCAAATAACGAAATAAATGTAAATATATTTAACAAGTCTTTGGAGTATGTCTTACACAAGACAAGAGCTCGGGAAGTCGCAGAGAGCATTATAATATAATCACGAATTTAAAAGCTCACAGAAGAACTATCAATATAGTATATATATTCCTGATCAGTTGCAACAGCCGAGTGAATTCCTTTTAAGTATCTGTGCCAACCAGGCTCTCAGCTTAAAATCGTAATCGACCGGATCGGACTACTATATCATGTTGTTGATATAAAAAGGATTGATTGCAAATTAAGTATCTATCAGCTAAAACTTATCACAATTGGTCAACTATATTATCTAAAAACAATCGGGCGAATATTATGTTTTAACAAGATATCTTGTCTCTCATCTAGTTTAAAGAAATATCTTGTCCAAATCTGGCATTATTCAATTTAACATTGCCAGTTACCAAGTCTTGTTAACATTGAACTATTTGAATATTCGACTCCATGGGAAGAATCGGTCAAATAACTACTTTTTTGCATGGACATTTTTCAGCAAAGAGTTACACAAGAGTTACAAGAGTAAAAATTAGCTTTATTTAAATTATATTTTAAAGTAATTTAAATAAAGCTCAATTAATCAAAAACAGTGAAGACTACTTGTCTTTGATATATTATTAGGTAAGGTTCTTTAGATTAATTTAAATTAAAGCGGTAAATCAATTTGTTATTGAATATAAGTTGGGAGAACGGTTTCTTCTAAGCCCTTGAGAATGCTTTTGCGGCAGCTCGTCCTTGCCAGCGAGCCATGACCAATTCGCCGATGAAAACAAATCCTGCTGCGGCATATAATATTGCCAACAGTTTCCAGGCCCAGAGCAGATCCTGGTTGTTTAATGGAGCATGCGTAAACTCTGTATATGAACTTTTTGGATCGACAAGCTGCTTCTTGGATGCCACCAAGCTGCGCATAGAGGCCAGTTGCCATTGGTGGTAGAGACCAACTTCGTGAGCCTTATAAATAAACTCGTTGACAGCGTTTATGTAAATAGAATTCTCCCTCAAAAGGCCAACAATGGGATAGCCATGGAAAAGGCTCAGTCCTGGCGACGCGCACAGGACATGCCTTTTGAAATTCTTCTGCTGACTATTCACGATATCCCACAACTTGCTGAATGCCTGATAGGCATTGCTCGAGTTCAGGGCAAACATCATATCGTTGCGTTGATAGTTCGGCATGAGAACAATATTGGGTATTTTCAACAGTTGATTTTTCACCTGCACCTCCGTCACATTCGCAATGATTCTGTCGAAGATGACGGGCAAGCCGCTTGCCGCCAGCTCCTCAAAGTTCTGGACGTGTTGATAGCAGGGCGGCTTGGTCAGCAGAGCGCTCAGATTGGCATTGAAATAGCAGCCGAACACCAAGCTGAATATGCTCATGATCATAAGGAACTGTCGCAGCGACAGGCTTCGATATCGCCGCAAGCCAATGGGATGGCCCAAAACGCCAGCAAATGAGTGCAGATTTATGAAAAATGTTGAATAGCCGAGGCACGAGGCACTGCGCCGCCAGATGTGATCGCTGGCCAGCTTGAGCGTTGTTTCGAGCAGCGCAAACAGAAAGTAGGCGCCAAGCATCACAAAAAAGTAGGTTCTCATACTTTTATAAACATCAGCCAGTCTCATTTGCTGGCCGCAGGGCACAACAACAAATAGTTCAACGATATCCACATAGGCCGTAGACTCCATGCTGAATGTGTGTATGCGTCCATGCATTGGGAAGTCCACTTCACCATTCAATACCATTTGTTCAATACTGCGACTATCGATCCAACGACTCTCATTCTCAGGTCTTTGCAAGCGTAGTTCTACGTTATATTTCCGGGCAAACTCTCTTACGAGTCGCACCATGAAGCCGTCCAGGTATTGGCTACCCGTGCGCTTATCCAAGAGCAGATAGCTGCTCGGTGGATAAAGACTGGGCACTGTTATGGCCACCTTTTGGCGGAAATCTCGCCAGACAGGCAAAAACAATGGTACCTCATTCAAATTACTTATTGGCTTAAGAGTTGCATTGGGAAACGGTTGTAGTCTATAGACAATTATGGGGTCTTCGAGAGCATACAAGCCTGTACGTAAAACCAGAAGGTTCATCAAACTATATCTCTCTGCCCGTTCGATGATTATAGATAGAAATTCGTGTAGATCCGAGTCCATACTATGCAACCATACAATGATTGGCGCCGCTCTCATGCGATTTAGATTCTGGGCCAAGGTGCTCAGCAGGACGGCATCTCTGAGCTCGGCCATGCAAACCAGAGCGAGGGCCTCGCTATTAAAGCGCTGCTTTATATTTATTGTGATTCGTTCATCTAGGCGAAGAGTAGGTATTGCCAATGAATTGATGTGCTGCAAAGGGCAGTGGCTGTCCTGCCGGCGTGCCATTAGCAACAGCGTATCCACAGATCTTTCCCTCTGAACTCTCTCTATGATGTTCTTGATAAAATTAATTTCTGCAGTTTCTGGTGTTGCCAATTCTGGAAAAGTGTTCAATCCACCAGCTAGAAGCAGCAGCAGCAGCAGGCTAAAGCCAAACGAGCTAAAGGCTAACATTCTGGGCCAAGTATTAAGAACGAACTGAAACATGGCTAGAACTTTTCACAGCTCCTAATAAGTTGTACATTAATTAAATTGCTTTGAAGTTCGACTTAATCGAAGATTGTCGTCGGCACACGTGCATTATACTCGATGTCAAAACTCAAAACAGCTGGGATAATAATCAATGTGTTCTTATAATTTGTCCTCACAATAAAAAGCAAATAAGATTGCGCTAGACGGGAGTGCACAACTAGCAGATACTCTAAGCGCAGCCTTTACAAGCCTTGTTGGTTTTTTTTACACATATACACACACATATGTATATAGTTTTCGTTGTGCCCTTCGGCATTTATAGTCAGCATTCTCTGTATTTTTCTGGGCTTTGAAATGACATATAAAAGTTCCTTTATATCTAAGCTCAAAGCTTTGATAATGGAAGATTTTTTCAATCTCGATGGGATCGAGGAGAAGTATCAAAAACTTTAAATATACCCAATCTGCGTGTATTATACAAGTACTCACCCAAACTGAGGAAGGGAGGGGAAATATTAAATCAATCCAGTCCTCCTTCTGATCAAAAACATACAAAACGATTTACTCGGATGTAAGATGCTCTCTCAAAGTAAATGCATTTGCACGAATCCATTTTAAATAAGTGCAGGGTATGCAACTAAGTGCGACCACCCCTTGTCCCTCCCCGATGCAGGAAGTATGCAATGAGAAGTGAATTGCATTATTAATATTCTAGTACATTTTAAGTAGTGTGTAATTTGTTAAAATTAATCATCATTAATTACCTGTTGCAGCGTTACCACAACACAATTGTTTTTGTTTTTATTCTTGTGTCTAAATGCCTAACATGTTTTTGGCGTGCTAAAAGGTATTCGGAAAGGGTATTATTAGCGAAAAGATAAGCTACTCGGCACTATATAAGGCCTGTGCTGTTCCACTCCAGACTAATTAGAAGTCTTTTTTCCGGAGCTGTTAAATGATATCCCAAGCGATTTTTAGAAAGTTTTGCTTGCTGCTTCTGGCACTTGAGGGCTGTGAGTGCAAAGTAAGTAAATCTTCAAATCCTTTTGCCCAACTGATCGGGTTACTCGTACTTGGATAGCGTAATTGGGACTACGACCCGATATCCCTCACCGGCCACAGTTCAGATGAAGTTGGCTTTTCGGGCACCCTGGACTGGCAATATTATCATATTATCGGTAACACAACTATGGTGAGATTTGAGGAAAAATTACTATAATAGCCATTAATCAACTTAGTATTGTGGAATAATTGACAGGGTCCCTTCGCCTTGCCAAAGAAGCCTGCCTCGGCAACAAAGGCCGTATATGAAGATCTGCTGTTCTAATATGCCGCGATTCGAAGAAAGATGCTTCAAATGCTTTAGTATTGCTTAGAATGGTTTCTATTAAATTAAGAGGTCATTTGAGTCGTGTAATGGGATGACTTGGTGGATGTGAAGGGCAGTGAATAAGTAATAAGTAATAATATAGAATGTAAAATAAAGGGAAGCTGCACTGCGACTAAGAGGGGCAGCAGCTACCTTTGCTTAAGAAACCCCTGTATAAGCTGGAAAATCAAACTCTCTGCCCTTTGCTGGGGGCATTCGAAGAGTATGTGCATAGTTCGCCTTGGGCACTTTCCAGCCGAAAGGCAGACTTGCCGGATCATTTCTGCTTTGATGGAGGCCTCTGAAAGGGGAACCTGGCCTGGCCCTGTTGAGCTCGTCAGCTTCTTCCTTGCCAGTCAGATACCATACTTAGCCCGATATAAACAAATATATAAGTTATTGAAGCTAAATCAAATTGCATTTGCAGGTTTTGCTACTTATCTATGTAATTCTATATTCAGTTTGCGGAAGCTTTAATATTTTAATTCAAATGAATAATATGTCGAGGAAACTGCACGGAATCAAGCGCAGTTCCGAGTATCTTAAATTTGAATGGGTGCATGTTGAATAGATTCGAAGGAATAAGAACAAGTAAATTAAGTAGTTAATTAACACCTGAAAAGCAACCAAGACCAGATTAAAATTTTCCCATATTATGTTCATTCCATTAGAATAATGTTGTGCTTAGCCTTACAACAAAAGTCACGCTCCAATCGACCTCGCCAGTCACGATGACCTTTACCTTATAGAAACCATCCACTAATATTTCAGGCCAAATTCCATTTCTGAAGTCACACATGTGAAGTTTGTACAGATCCCTGGGCCATGGATACAAAACATCCCCATCAAATCGGGGCATATTAGAACAGCGTTTAGTATTGGGATATAGCAGATTGTCATATTCGGCCTTTGCATTCAAAAGATTTCTCTTTGGAATGGCGAAGGGAAGCAGCCTGTAGTCACTTTCGCTACCGCTGGAGCTGCGAAAGATCTGAACCTCAATCTATCAAGTATTCAAAAATAAAAAGTTAAATAATAGCTATTACAGTTTCACTTCTTCATATCTTACCATAGTCGTGTGATCGATATCATATTGCCAGTCCAGGGTGCCCGAAAAGCCAGCTTCGGAGCGACCCACGCGTTCTACCCGCAAATCGGGCTTGAGTTTACTCTCATCTGAACTGTGGCCGGTGAGGGATATCGGCTCGTAGTCCCAATTACGCTATCCAAGTACGAGTAACCCGATCAGTTGGGCAAAAGGATTTGAAGATTTACTTACTTTGCACTCACAGCCCTCAAATGCCAGAAGCAGCAAGCAAAACTTTCTAAAAATCGCTTGGAATATCATTTAACAGCTCCGAAAAAAAGACTTCTAATTAGTCTGGAGTGGAACAGCACGGGCCTTATATAGATGGATAGCACCTGTGCCGAGTAGCTTATCTTTTCGCTAATAATACCCTTTCCGAATACCTTTTAGCACGCCAAAAACATGTTAGGCATTTAGACACAAGAATAAAAACAAAAACAATTGTGTTATGGTAACGCTGCAACAGGTAATTAATGATGATTAATTTTAACAAATTACATTCTACTTAAAATATACTAGAATATAAATATATTTGACCTCTTCACGTAATGCAATTCACTTCTCATTGCACACTTCTTGGCTTGGGGGGGTGACAAGGGGTCGCATACCTGTTCAAAATGGCTTTGTGCAAATGTATCTTTTACTTTCTTTTGCCGACATTTCGTCCCACTCAAATTGATGTTGAGACCTGATTCTTTATCATAAATTATGCGAGTTAGATTTTTCTATCTACTTAGAGATGAAGTTAATATTGTATACAATTTTAGAAATTAATTTTTATCTGTCAGACACCAACAGGTGCTACTGGGTAGTCGGGATCGTCTGTTTTAAGGAAATTTTAAAAATGAATGCCTCAAATCAACTGTAAATGCGTAGGAGATTTCGTTGAATCTATTGCTTATTTTGCGATTCGTTCAGTTTTCTCTTAGTTTCAATTCGCATCGTTTCGTTCAGCTTGTACGCGTGTTCGTTCTCTTTTGCGTGCAAGTCGCTCTCTTTGTTTCATTTCCCTTAGCGAAATGCTAGGTTAATCCGCTGAGGGCGTTTCGTTGCATTCCGACGTTTCACTTCGGTTCGTTTAGTTTATCTGCTTGGAGCTCGTATGGTTTCATATCATACGTTTCGTTGCTGTTGCCGAGCAACTCTTGACGAGAACGGACGTGTTTTTCTTCGCAGCGGCAAACACAGCGAACACAACGAAAGAACAGACAGCGAATAATACTAAACACGGTAACTTAAAAGGATAAAAAGAGAAGTGCAAGAACGCAATATTAATACAATACTTCCTTAGAACAAATGTGAGTTGATTTTTGTTGCTCTTGAAATTCGTTGTTCAACAAAAGAAAATATAAATCGGGAATCATGTTTAATTTTATTTTATGTTACACGTTTTGGTTTTGTGTTTCGTTTTAAGTTGAATTTGTACAAAATGCAATTGAACATAAATAAAAATCATTTAACGGGGCGCGTGTGCGGTACATAATAATAATAATAATAAAACAGAAAGCAATAAAGACAATCAAATAATTATAATACGAGTATATGACAAGCTTGAGAGCTTCACGTGCAGCATAAGAAATCGTGATAATACACACACACACTCACAGACAGGGAGCATCAGCAGCAGCGGCATCAGTATTTTGTTGTTGCTGTTGTTGTTCTTGTCGTGTGCACGCTCAGCCGCCGTTAACATCGTGTGTGTTCCTCCAGCATCAGCAGCAGCAACAAAAACAAACGAGCAATTTTCGTGCGTCGACGGCGCTGCTGCCGGCTGCTGCAATTATGTGTAGCAGCAGCGACTTTTTAAATAAAAGGTAGACAGCAAAAACAACAACAAGACCAACAGGCAGAAGCTGCCGCTGCCGCTGCCATAGCCTCTGTCTCAGTCTCAGTCGCTGTCGCTGTCTCTTGCATGCAATTAATGTACACAGTTTTTTTTTGCATAAATAAATAACAACAACAACAAGCATACAATTTGTGTGTTTTTGCCGGCAGACGCTCTCGAGCGACGCCGCCCCAAAGGTCGTTGGCGCTAAGGTCACAGTCAGACAACGCGCGAAAGAGAGAGAGAGTGAGAGCGAACGTACGAATTTTGTGTTGCAAGTGTGACATCAAGGAGCGCAACAACAACAATTGAAGCTCTTTGCGACGGTTATCGTGCCAACAAAACGGTAAATCTGCAAAACGCGTGTGTTTCGAGTTTTTAGATAATAAAAAACATAAATTCAACAACAATCAACACCAATAGCAGTCGCTGCCAACGTCAACGCAGCATCCAAATTTCATGGTAAGTGCCGTTACTTTTATTTCCCTTTTGCCCTTCTGCTTTATTCGCATTTGTCGTTGTTATTGTAAATGATTTGCAGTCACCTTCGAGAATGGCTACGCTGCTTCCTAATGCTGTGCTCTCTGCCCAACCTTTGCTCTCGCACACTCACTCTCTTACGCTACCTCTCTCCGTGCGAGCGCCGCATTTGAGGATATTCCTAATCCGTTTTATTGATTGCAGGCAGCACAGCTGGAGTGCTCTGCCAGCATTGCGTGGCTAAGTGTGTGTGTGTGTGTGTGTGTGTGTGTGTGTGTGTGTGTGTGTGTGTGTGTGTGTGTGTGTGTGTGTATGTGTGGTATGTGTAGTTGTTGCTTTAGCTGGCAATCTGTGTTGTTTTTTACTTCTTCTTTGGCCACTACTCATTTGGGGTTGTTGTTGTTGTTGTAGCTATAAATGTGAGCCTGCTGCGCTGCTGCTGGCTGCTTTGCTGCTGACTTTGCTTTTTCTAGTTTTGTCATTCCCATGTTTTCATCAGCTGCCGTCGCTGCTGCTGCGCTGCTTCGTGGGTGAAGTTTGCCGGCGCAACGGTAAAAGCTTAACCTACCTATTCTTCTTATTATTCGTGTGTTGTTGTTGTTGTTCTTGTTGTTGTTGCTCTCATGCATTTCTCTCATTCTGGGTGTACAACAACCGAAAAAATAACTTTATCAAAAAATTAAGAGAAATATGTGAGGCAGCTGCCCCCGTTGGGCATAACTCAATAATCACATCAAATGTCTCACTAACCACAGCAGCAACATCAGTGGCAACACCTTGCCGTGTCTGTGGCAGAGGTGTGTCCGCCCTGGACGTGAATGCGGCTCCCTCTTGGCCTGCTAATACCGTGGCACAGCTGCGCGCCATTTAAGTCGCTGACAAGTGTTTTGCCGGCATGCCCGGAATGCGTCCGACTCGCCGCGGCAGCGGCAGCGGCAGAAGCAGCGCAAAAAGTGGCAGCCAACATTGCTACCAATTATGCGATAAGCAGTCGCTGCCTCTTGGCCAACTTTAAGCCACGGCAATGGCAGCGGGGACTTTACTTAAAGCCTCAGCAAATACTACGCGCAATTCGGCGAGCATCAAATTGTGAGTGCAATGAATAAAATACAACACTCGAATATTCATTCTGTGAGTAGTCCGTATACAAAACTTAAAATCAACGCATTTGACGAACTGTGAATACGCTTTCTTACAATGCAATGACAGTTATATATTGAGGTGAACTTAGGTTTATGACCTTTACGTTTGCTTAAGATATTCGGAAGAGAACTTAATTGAGAAATTCATAATTTATTTGAGTTGCGAAAAAATCTTTTCCAATAATTTAAATAATATTAAGTTTCTCCCAGAAGTGAAGAACTAGATAGGAGCAACAGCAATTCAAAGGTTTTTTATTTTTAATTCAATACAATTTTGAATAATGTATTCAGGTTTAAGGTTTATTATAATCATATAAAATATTTGCAGTGATATTCTCAAATTGAAATTTTCTTTAATTAAAAGTAGCTGGAATAGAAAATTCCTTTCTGTATGCTCTAGAGTTTTCAAAGTACTAGAAAAAGCTAAAAAAGCTATAAAAATTAAAATGAAAAAATTTGAAATTTGATTTAAAAGTTTAAAAACCTTTCGTTAAATCGAAAATATGGTTTGCCAGAAAATTCTCGAGGAAGCTATTTTTGCTACTGTTAAGCAAGAAATTTGAAATATTAAAGTACAAATTAAATGAAGCTAAAATAAATTAACCAGTTAAATGTACGTAAAGCGCAAATGCCTTAATCGGCAAGTGTCTTAGCAAAGTAATTGGGCCACATTTGCAAAGGGTATGAATATATATTTAATATATATATATATGGCAATAATAATGAAAATGCGCCAGGAAAAACTAACAAAAGGCCGCGTGCGCGCTGCCATCAAACGAAATGAAAAGCGTGCAGCCGCGGCAACAACTATAACAGCAACAGCAACAACAACAACTGCAACAACAACAATAACAAGAGCAAAGGGAATGACCTTATGTATTGCAAAACTGCAAGGCAAACAAAGAGCCGCTAATGGGGCGCGGCGGGGAGCGGGCGGGCTTAGCAGGAACGTTGCATGATGCTGTGTTGACGCAAAGATCAACGCTGCTGCCCCAAACCGGTCGCCAGGCCTCTGCCTTAGCCTCAGCCTCAGCCTGTGACTGCGCCTGGGCCTGGGCTACTGCGGGGCAATTGGGCCAAAAGCATAAAAATCAGTCAAGAGTCGCCTCCGCGTGGTGGAACGTTGCGAACATTAAAAGCGACAAACAAACAAACAGACGTACAGGTCCTGGCCAAGCGCAGTTGGGGCGGAGCGGGGGCGGTGCGGTGCGGCAGCTGGACCCAAAAGGCGGCACTGGCCCAAGCGTAGCAGCAGCAGAAATCGATTTTCTCGCAAACTTGGCCAGAGCCAGAGCCAGAGCCAGATCCAGGCTGGGCCATTCAGCCGCAGGGCTTGAAACGCGCGCATTTTTCGGCCTCTCTCCCTTTCTCCCGCTCTTGTAAACGGCCCCCATGTCCATTTGGCGCTGACCGAGCGGCTCCTCGAACGAGTAATGGATACGGGGTGTCCAGCCTGGATGCAGGCGTGCGCCTCAATGTTGATGATGATGCGACCGCCGGCCGGCAGCAGCCGCAGCAGCAGCAGCAGCAGCAGCAGCAGCGGCAGCGGCAGCGGCAGCAGCAAAATTGCAAGTCAAACTGTCGTCGCTCTGCGTTGTTTAGTTGTTTTATGCCACGTTTTGCGCCACGGCCATTGGTAATTGCAATTGCAATTTGGCCTAAGCCACAGCGAGCAGTGCCGGGCAGACGGACAGCCCAGACGGACGGACGGACAGACATTCACTTGGCAGATGAGTTCTGCCGGGCTGGCGACTGTGGGGAGGTGATAGGAGGTAAATCTGCAAATTGCGTTCGCTAGTTGCCTCAAACAGTGCTCCGCAATGGTTTATTTAATTTGTGTTATAAATAAATTTGTTAATGCTATAATTCCGTTGCACAACACTCTGTGTATGTGTGCGGTGTGTGCGGTGTGTGCGGCGTGTGTGTGTGTGTCTGTGTGTTTATTC